GTTCTTCAGTCTAGTTGTGGAGGACGTTGCTTCACTGGCCCAAGTTGGCGCCATCATTGCGCTCTTCCCGGGTGAGGCACATCAGTCGCTGGCCTCTGGACGGCTGCTCACTGCGGCTGCTGGCCGCTCACGCTGGCTGCTGGCGACACACGGTAGCCCATGGCAACCCACTGCCACAGGGGCTGCAGCCTACGCTGGCAGCAGCCCAGCTCCAGGTTGAGCTGTTGTTCAGCATCTTAGCTGTTGAGGGCAGTGTCACTGGCCCTCATATGTGGGATCCGAACCAGGGCCCTCTAGCGTCCCAAGCCAGTTCTCAACCATCGCGCCACTCGGCCGGCCCTATAATATTTCTTTTATCATCGTTTATCTTATTTCTATAATTCATGATCATTTCTGATAAAACATTTTTCTACATTGTACTTTGGATTGTAGCAAAAATTCTTTCTTCTGTCCCATTCTTATATTTGGAGAAATCCCTATTTTATGAATCTTGATGAGAGGAAGTGCCTCTCTCCCTCTATGGAAACTAAAAATGTCAGATTATTTGCTTTACCAGTTCAGGCATGTGACCTGGGCTCGACCACTTGGATATTCTTATCCTGAACATTGAGTGGAGCTTCATTATTTTGAGATAATGCAGAAAACCCAAAGACATAAACAGACACAAATTATATTAGAAATAACAGAGGAAGTTATCAGAGTGGCTGGATATAAGATCAATTTATATTTTTATATGCCAGTAGTAACAAAAAATAAGAAAATATATTTAGAAGAAATATTTTTCTAAAGAAGTGGGGATGTGGACAACCATTCTGGTGATAGACAGTGGTGGTGGCAGTGGTGTCTTTCCAGGGGTCACAGGGGCAGGGTCCAGAGGCATTGAGGACTGATGGTGAGGGCTTTGCAAGCTATGGATTGGGAGCATCCTGTGATTTGGGGCTGTGGTCCAGCCTTATTTCTGCCACCTTCCTAGCCTGGTTCCTCAGCCTCATGGGAGGTTCTCTGAGTTTTACCCATCCTCTTTCAGTACAGTGCTTTCCTGACTGCCCTGCCAGAGTCAGTTTCTGTTGGTTGCAACTAAGATCCTAACTGATACAGGTTGTATATTGTTCCAAAGTACCTCAGTTGCTATAT